AAATTGAATTTTTAATGAAGAGAAATCTCATACAAGTCCATTCAAACCCGAAACTTCTTCAGTGAGAAAGATTGAAGGGCTTGTGGATGGAATCAAGATCCAAGTTTTGGATACTCCAGGCCTTAAATCTTCTTTATCGGATCAAGCATCAAACAGAAAGATTCTTTCGTCAATGAAGAAGCATATGAAGAAATGCTTACCTGATGTTGTTCTATATATTGATCGGTTTGATACTCATGCACGAGGTTTCAATGATTTACCCCTTTTGAAATCGATTACTAGTACTTTTGGCGCATCAATTTGGTCTAAAGTCATCATCGTTCTTACTCATGCCTCTTCAACTCCAGCCGAGGGAGTATCATTTGAAGCGTCTATAGATCAGAGGTCTCATATAGTTCAAGAGTTAATTTGGAATGCACATGGAGATATTAAGTTGAAGAATCCAGTGATTTTGGTTGAGAATCACCCATCCTATAGGAGAAATATGGAAGCACAAAGAACTAAGTTGCTTCTCTCGTGTTATTCTTCAAAAATTCTATCTGAAGCCAAATCCCTCCATAAGGTTCAAGGTTCTTCTGTGCACAAGTTCTTTAACTTCTTTTTGTCTTCACTTCATGAGTCGAAACCCCACACAAAGCTCACTTCAGACATATATGGGGTTGACAATTCAGATGCTTACTCCGATGAGTTTTTGGAACAAGAAGATCAGTATAGCAAGCAGAAACAGAAGAAACAATCCAAGAAGCAAATCAAGAGATTAGAAGAAATAAAGAAAGGAGAGGAAAACTCGCAAGATTTGGCGTTCCCTCCTCCCTTTGACTCTGATGATACAGTAGATCTTCATCGATCTTTGGAACCAAGCTCAGGTCATCATACTGGTTTTCTCTGGGACACCCGAGTTTATGATCATTACTATGGTTTTGATGGGGTCAGTCTCAAGATTCCAGGTGCAATTTATGTCAAACTCAAGAAGGACAAGAAGGATTGGAGAATGAATTTAGAATCGTCAGTCTTAACCAGGCATAAGAAAAATGGCTCATTGCTCGCAAACTTCGACACACAGATTATCGACAACCAGATGGCATACGGGGGCAATGTAGAAGTAAAACTATCGAAAATGGCTGTTCGTGTTGGGATGAATAATCAGAGGAGAGGGCGGATAAGGGTCAGGACGAGTAGTTGGGAGCCGCTTGAGATGGTGATTATGGGTCTCGTTTTGATTGATATGTACATTTTCAGGAGACAATGGCCTGGTGAGTGTTCATCTTCTTAGTTTACGTATATGTAAATTTGAATATATTGATCTAGGTATTGTAATTTTATAGGATCTGTATACGGAGAGTTAGTTAGACAAGCTGATATAAATCGATCATTTGTTCAGATTTACTCGCACAATTATCATACTACATGCTGCATAAATCCATACCGAATTCAGTTTACTTCCAGTTCACATCCTACTATTGCACACAAGTTACCCACGCAGGCACAAAATATTGCGCAAGCAACACTAAGTATCAAAGAACCAAAACAGAACATGAACATTTAAGCCCACAAGGTAGAAGCACTCTGTAGGGTTTTTATCTGCATCTCAAATAAAAAACTGACCACAGTTGAGAGCTAAAAACGGCGACGATAGCAACCAGCATAAGAATAACAAAGGGAACAACAACCTAGAGCGCACAATGTATTGTATTCACTATACCGAAACTGAGAACAAAGTAACAATACGGACAATGTCAATATAAACAATAGTGACAACAATGCTGCATTAGGAAAAACTATATGGACTTGCAATATTCCCTTCAGTTTCACTTAGTATTAAAACCAGAGTCCTGATAGGTTTGTCAACCTGGTTTTAGTTTACTTGGCAACTTGTTGTTATAAATCTGTCAGGTTCACACAACAGGTCAAAATACAAGCAGCAGCAAACAACATTATATTCACAACACCCAAATCCAGCAGTTAAAAAGTTTGCAACAGATCCACAACAATTCTTTTAACATGAACATTAACCAGACACAAACATTCACATTCACTCAACCCTCTTCCCTTTCTCCTCCCCACCAAACACCTTAGCAATCCTCTCCGTCGGCACCACAGGCAAATACCCAGCAACCGGATACCCCTTCTCCGCCGAGTAGCAAACTGCCCTGTTGTACCTCTCCGTCCAGCGGGCTGCCGTGGGGATCACCATCCCTGCCACCTGAGGGAACACCGGGAGCTTGTTCAGCGACCTCCATGTTGATACAGCGTATTGCTCCGCCACAGGTTCGCATTTTACATAGAGGGATTTGGCAGTTGGTTCGGCTTTGGAGATAGCAGCCCTGGCGAGCTCCTTGGCGGTCCCTACCACGCCTGTGCGTTGAACCTCGTTGGAGAGGGAGCGGGCGAGGACCGGGGCCTTCTGAGCTGCGGTGTAGGCTTGGGTTGATGCCTCCTTTATCAAGGATGGTACATGACGGTCTATCTCTTCCACGGCGTCCCCAACCTGAAGCAAGTATCATGTATTCATGTATTCACACATGAAATAGGAAATGCAGAAAACGTGGTAGACCAAAAGGCCGCCTTAACAACCAACGAACTCATTATTATAGCCCCTTCAACACACGAGATGCTCTCTTTCTAAAAGAAGCATTTCAACGGTGCTAAAAGCCAGTAAATGAGTTGAGGGGGTTTATGTTGCATTTTACCCAATTAACTAAGCGCAAATTCTATAAAACGCGCATCACATACAATTATTCATATTTCGCTCATTTATAAAAATTTGGCCACCCACTTCCATGAGAGTGGATTACCTACAAATATCAACTGCTACAAATATCAGCTCCTAATAAATACGTAAAAAAATGGCACAGGCTAAATAAGGATACATCAAAGTTTTATGTGTGATTTACTTCTAACTAAACTAGTGCAATATTAGTGATTGGCGTCATATTTATCTTTAACTAAAAATTTTCATTGACAATTAAGGATGGTCTTAAAAAAAATTTTAGGAAAAAATGAAACTAAATTGTAAATTCATAATACTATAATTCAAGAACTTGCTAGATCCTAGAATAAACGTGTTAATCATAGTTAGTACTACTCCTATTTGAAAAGCACGCAGCCTATTAGATATAACCATCCACAGTTATGTCACATCATCCACCGATAAGCATGACCAGCATGGGCCTTAATGCACATGTAAGGCAGATAGTTCTCTCTACGTATCGTTTATTACATGGTTTCAGATCCGTTCCTTCCAACTCCTCTAAAATCCTAGCCATCCATCAATATCACCCAACTCTAGCCGGCCACTCCATCCTTGCTGTCAACCCACCCTTTTTAACCCCCCTCTTTCAGTGGCCGAACGTAGCCTAATAAAACAAAATGTGGGCCCCACAAAGATGTGTCCCACTAATAAAATATTATTAGTGACAGTTCCCGCTAACAATATTTTATTAGTGCATAGTGTTCCCCAAACACTATAAATAGGGTTTAAACTCTTAAGAAAAAATTCATCTCAGAAATAACTCCTCTCATAGAAGAGTAAGAGAAAAACTTATCCCAGAAACAACACCCTCTCTTGATCAGATACTCCAAGAACTCTCACAATCTCTCTGTGTTTTCTCTCTTACTCTTCTATGAGAGAAGTTGTTTTTGGGATCTAAGTTTTTCCTTAAGAATTTAGATCCTATTTATAGTGTTAGGAAAATACTATGCACTAATAAAATATTATTAACGGGACCTGCCACAAATAATATTTTATTAGTGGGATCCGTCTTTATGGGACCCACCTTTTGTTTTATTAAGCCACTTTCGGCCACCGAAAGAGGGTGGTCAAAAAGGGTGGGCTGACAATCTCCCACTTAAAGATTTGATTGAATATCAATCTTATCTTCACACCAATCTTGGTTGCATCATCCGGATATCTTATATCTTTAACGTCTTGCACGACCCTCAACGTTCTCAACAGACACCATATGAGGCTGCACACAGCCTCACCTTCTCGAGTGGAACTGACTTGGTCAGCATATCGACGGGATTGTACCTCGTATCAATCTTCACAAGCTTGAACTCGTTCCTGCTTTGCCATCTTCGTATCGCATGGTGCTTCACGTCAACATGCTTGGTCCGAGCATGGAATGCGTCGTTCTCTGACAAGTGAATGACACTCTGACTGTCGCAAAGGATGACGTATTTCTCAAAGCTTACTCCAAGCTCGAGAAGAAAAGCCTTCAACCATAGGAACTCCTTTGTTGCTTTGCTGCAGATACGTACTCGGCTTTGGTTATCGACAAAACCACAGTATCATGTAATTTGGATCTCCAACTTATCGCTCCACCACCCAATATGAAGATGTAGCCGTTCGTACCCCTTCTCGAGTCTCTGTCCTCGGCATAGTCTGCATCACAAAAACCCTCTAGCTGCAAATCTGCCCCGTCATACTCAAGACAACGATCGAAGGAGCTTCTCAAGTAGCGTAGAAGACACTTGACCGCACCCCAGTGTTGTTTCTCTGGATTGCTCATGAAGCGGCTCACAACTCCCACTCCTTGTGTAATATCTGACCTCGTGCACACCATCGCATACATCAAACTCCCGACGACAGATGCGTATGGTATGTTGGCCATGAACTCATACTCTTCAGCAGTCTCTGGTGCTTGGATCTTTGATAGCTTGAAATGGCTTGCAAACGGTGAGCCCACTGGTTTAGCTTTCTCTATGCCGAATTTTTCAAGAATCTTCTCAATATAGGCCTTCTAAGACAACCTCAGCCTCTGTGCTGATCTGTCTTTGATGATCCTCATCCCAAGAATCTGATTTGCTGAGCCCAGATCCTTCATCTCGAAGCACTCGGAGAGATACCCCTTGAGTTCTTCAATGCGGGCCAAGTCGGGTCCGGAAATCAGCATGTCATCAACATAAGTATCACATAGGATTCGCCATATCTCTTGATAAAGCAGCAATGGTCTATGTCGCATTTGAGAAAACCGTTCTCCTTCATAAAGTTGTAGAACTTTATGTACCACTGTCGCGGAGCTTGCTTCAGGTCATACAAGCTCTTGCACAGGCGACACGAGGCCCTCCCTACCTCGTTCCTCTTAGCCCACTACTTAATGCATATAGATCTCTTCCTTCAAATCTCCATGAAAGAATATCGTCTTCACATTCATCTGCTCTAGATGGAGATTTCGAACTGTCACAATGCTCAGCATAGTCTGGATTGTTGTCAACTTGACGACGGGAGTGAAAACGTCAGAATAGTCTATCTTTATTTTCTGCTCATAGTCCTTCACTACAAGCCTCGCCTTGTAACGTCTCCGTCCATCGGCTTCATCCTTGACCCGATAAATCCACCGATTGTGAAGAATCTTTTGCCCTCTTGGAAGCTTTACGAGCTCCCAAGTTCCATTCTTCATCAATGATTTTATTTCTTCCTCTATGATAGACTCCCACTTGCCTCGAGCTTTGTCAGTCTGCTATACCTCCTCATAGCTCTCTGGCTCACCGTTGTCAGTCAGGAGAAGATAATTCATGATGAAAAGGTACCTCTCTGGTACCTTCGGATTTCTTGAATCTTTGCGAATTACGATCGGTAACTCTGCTGAATCCTGCTGTTGTGCATCTAACACGTTCTCTTGATCTCCGTCTTTTATGCTAATTGGTATCTCATCGCCGTCCTCACTGTCAACAATATCTGGAAAAAAAGGGAGAGATAGCTGACTCCCACTCACCTCTTTGGTCTTGTACACTGCATTATCATGGAACACGACGTCACGACTGCGCACAACCTTGCGCGCATCGTGATCCCACAAATGGTACCCATACTCATCTCCTTCATAGCAGATGAAAGAAAGCTTCTTTGACTTTGAATCAAGCTTTGACCGATCTGCAGAATTGATCATGACATAGGCGTCACAACCAAATACTCATAAGTACTCTAGCTTCAGCTTTTTTCCGGTCAAGCCTCCTTAGGTATCACATAATTAAGAGCCACAGATGACTCGCGATTGATTAAGTATGCAGCAATATTGACAGCTTCGGTCCAAAAACTCTTGGGCAATCCGGAGTGGATCCTCATACTTCTGGCGTGCTCCAAGATAGTGCGATTCATGCGCTTCGCCACTCCGTTGTGTTGAGGTGTGGTTGGGACGATCTTCGGTCTCCTAATCCCATGGAACGAGCAGAAGTTCTCGAACCCCTGACTGCAATACTCGTCTTCATTATCAGACTTTAGGCACTTCAGCTTATTGCATGTTTCGTTCTCCACACAGACAAACCATTTATTGAAGATGATAAAAACATCTGACTTGTGCTTCAAAAAGAACACCCACAAATTTCTAGTAGCATCATCAATAAAAGTGACAAAAAAGAATTTCCAACAGATGGGACTTGCGCAGGTCCCCACACGTCGATGTGCACCAACTCTAATATTTACATTTTTAGAGTAGGTCCGATCTTGTTGAAGCTCATCTTTTTTTGTTTGCTTAGGATGCAGTCCTCACAGAAAGTCAGATCGATCTTGTTCAGACCCGAAAGCCTCTCCCGCGGTCATAATTTTCATCCCCTTCTCGTTCATGTGGCCAAGTCGTTGATGTCAAGTCATGCAATGGACGGATGATGATGATGATGCTTGTCCTACGGCAAGTAAGTGATTAATCTTCCCATTAGCGATGTAAAGAGACCCCTCGCATTTGTCGTGTGCCACCACCAGGGCACCCTTGGACACCTTCCAGTTTCTCTGTTCGAAAAATACTCTGTAACCGAAGTCAGTCAGTTGCCCGACTGATATAAGATTTTGTCTGAGATTCGGTACATGTCGATTGTCGTTCAGTGTCAAGGTGGTCCCGCCTTCCATCTTGAGGGTACATTTTCCCTTTCCAGAAACCTTGCAAGGTTGATCGTCGCCAAGTAGACTGTCCCTAAGTCATTCTTCACGAACGATAAAAGCAGCTTTTGTTGTGAGGTTGCATGAAAAGATGCACCAGAGTCGATGACCCACGCATCGCTTTTATTTTCTAGGGATAGGAGAAACGTATCTGAATCCGTCTCGTGCATGAGATTGGCTGCACCGTTAGCCCGATCATCCCCTGCTGATGCTGAAACAAAAACTCTGCAGTCCCGTGCAAAATGACTTATTTTCGCATCTGAAGCACTTCCTTTCACCGTAACCATTCGGGTTCGGCCCTTTAGACTTCCCTCTAGATTTCGATTGGTCTCGTCATCCCTACCCTTACCCTTCTTCTGCGCACGCCCTCGTACCTCGACATGCAGAGCACTCCCACCGCTAGAGGCCTCAGCTCATGAGACTTTACGGCGAGATTCTTCATCCAGAATTGCCCCAATTACTGTGTCGAGCTTCATCTTATCATTGTCATTGGCATTGCTCACTACCATCACCATATTCTCCCATGAATCTGGTAAACAAGAAAGTAGCAGAAGAGCTTGGATCTTATTGGCGAACTTGAGATCTACTGCAGCAAGCTGTTGCACCACAGCCTGAAATTCGTTCAAGAAATCCGCCACACGAGCTTCTTGCTGCATCTTTAGATTGAACAGCTTCTTCATCAGGTACACTTTATTTATAGCAAACGACTTCTCATACAGTGCCTCCAAGGCCTCCATTAACTCCTTGGTGGTGGTCGCATGCGAGACGTTGTAAGTCACATGCTGGTGAAGGTTGAGTCTGATGGTGGCAAATGCTTTACGATTGAGCACCTTCTATTTATTATCGTCTATTTCTCAGGTTTCCTCGCCTCTCCTTGGAGGGGTAGAAAAAATCCTTCTGGTACAAATAGTCTTCTATTTGTATCCTCCAATACCTAAAAGTTTGATCGTCGAAATTTCTAATTTGAAGCTTGCTGCCTTCAACTGTAGATCCCATGACGAAAGATTGTCTTTCCTGAATCGTATTTGTGAATAGTAACAGTACTTGTAAATAGTACCGTACTGGTAAATAGTATCGTACTCGTGAATAGTGCCCAATGCCTTCAAAGAATAAATAATAATCTAATTTATTTTCTGATGTGGAGGATCCACTTTTAGTGGCAGCCACAGAACATATGATAAACAGATATATATACTCTAAGTCAGGCTCTGATACCAGTTGTTAGGATACATATCAACACTTGCCTCCCCTAAAAGACCCACGTCACCACCACCTCCATCCTCGCCTCCGCATTGTCACCAAGACAACCCTAAACGTCAGCTCACCGATAACCCACAACTGAGTAGAGCATGGAGAGAATATTAAAGATAATATTAGTCATGATTATAGGATGATAGTGCGACACAACTGTATATAATTATATCTAACACCCCACATCAAACTCACAGTGGATCGAAAATCGAGAGTTTGGATACAAATAGCGAAACCAAGGAATAGTTTGTGTTCCCTTATCTCATTCAAAAACTCATAGTCGCTAATTGAGAAAAGGAAACAATCAAAAGCTCATTTATTGAGGGCACCCAAGAGCTCTTGATCATTTATTGAGAGCTTTGACCTTTACTTCCTTGGTCATATACATCAGTTAAGGTATCTTTGCTTGGACTCTTGAGCTCCAAACCAAAAAACCATTTTTATTTTATTTTAGTCGCCTCATGGATAAGATAGGGATTTTCACCTGTCCACCTCTTGATGTGCAACTCACAAGGCCAAGAATTATACTGTGTGGGCTCTCACCATACATTATAATTTTTTGCCAGCCAAATACTATGGTTGAGTAAAATGGCTACGTACTCTTTTGCCAAATCTTAGCGTCTTTGTTACTTCTCCCGTCACTCTACATTGTGATAATCAGAGTATCATCTCCATTTTCACAAATCCAGTGTTCCATAAGCATACCAGACATATTGAGATAAATTGCCATATGATTCGACATGAGCCCATTAAGATGAATTGTCATATTATTCAACAGGAGCATACTTCTAGAAACATTATGCTTTTGTAAATTCCTTCTAAGGATCAAGTAGCGGATATGGTTACCAAGAAAAATTATTCATCAGTTTCACTATTTTGTATCCAAACTCTCGGTTTTTAACCCACCATGAGTTTAACAAGGGATGTTAGATATAATCACGTACAATTATGTGACATCACCGCCCTATAATCATGACCAGCATGGACCTTAATACTCTCTATCCTCTACTCTGTTCCAGGCAGTTGGTGGCTGATGTTTGATTTGTTCATCTATGTGCATACTTGTAACACAGATAATTCTCTCCATGTACCATTATGTGACATCACCGCCCTATAATCATGACCAGCATGGACCTTAGTACTCTCTATCCTCTACTCTGTTCCAGGTAGTTGGTGGCTGATGTTTGATTTGTTCATCTATGTGCATACTTGTAACACAGATAATTCTCTCCATGTACCATTTGTTACATAGCCAATTGAGAAAAAACTCGGTGGGGCTCAAATAAATTTACCTACCAGTAGCTTCTCCGCAAGTGACTATATGTCAAAAGCAGACATGCGGCATCCGCTAACGTGCGCGTAACCTGGAGGCGAAAGATAAGCAGCAAAAAGGATCGCCGCTGATGAGAGATCAACACCCTATTTCTGCTCCGAGCTGCTATGGTACTAACGTCTAGGTTGCTATGTTTGGGTCTATACTGCTATAATTGGTATATCAGTAGTTATATTTGGGTCTCTACTATTGCTAATGTGCGCCGGTAAAAGATGAGAAAGAGAACAGACCTTGCGGTCAACAAACTTGAGGACGTCGAGAGGAACGCTGCTGAACTTTTCATAAACGGGGCCCACAACGGCCTTGACGGTGCCCTCCACCGTCTTGACACCGGGCTTCAACGGCCCGGAGTTCTCCCTGGCAAAACCATACAGCCTCGAGACGTACATTAGAGCCTGGATTGTTGCCAAGTGAACAAATTCCAGGTATTGGAGTCTCTCCTCCTCGGTCATCTTCGTTTGATCCGTCTCCACGCTCTAAAATCAAAAAAAAAAAAAAAAACAAAAAACAAAAAACAAAAAAAAACAAACAAACTTAGCTCGGATGAGAAATTCGGTACAAGTCCACTAAATCTATCATATTTGAAAATAGCCCCTCAAACCACTGAAATCGCTATCATGTGCCCCAACTAATTTCAAAATATTCAAAGGATCATGATTTGAGAGACTAGTTTCAAATTTCAGTGATTCAAGGAATCAATTCCAATATACAAATATTAAAACTTATTTTTCTAAACTTTATATTGAAAAGGATAAGATGGTATGATCTTTTTAATGTATAAACGAAATCTTAGGGTATCAGAAAAAAAAAATCAGTAGAGCAAATCTGTAAGAAAAGATCTAAACTTTATAAAGAGAAAGCAGATCGTTTACGTGTTTTCTGAATTTTTAAATAACCCTTAACCAAATTCAGAAGAAATACCTAAATTTTATTGAAGAAATCAGAATACATAAAATTCATTAAAAAAAAACAGATTTATCGTAAAGAGCTCCGATTTATAAGAGTATTCCTATCAGTTTGTTTAATTCAAAAACAAAAATTCGATTAAAAGCTCCAATATTTATGAAAATAACTTGCATGCAAGAAATATGTAAACAATTATTACATTAATAACAGAATTTAAAATATCAGAATCCCAAATCCTCATAAAAAATTTTCTAAAAAATTTTTTCTCAAATTAAGCCGGGGGAAGAGAAAAACTTACGATCTGATCAGACTCCACCTCAGATTCCGCCATCGATTGATGAGTTCCAAATCCAAACCCTTTTCGAGATCGAAATCAAAACCAAAATCTATAAAATGGAAGCAAGAGAGAAAACTGGAAGGCCCTCGAATTCGAATATTGGCAGCTTTTAATGAGTTCGATGACGACCACCCCTTTTTATAGGCCTCGATCGCTTCCCCACCGTCGGATCGGATCTCGATCGTACGGTCGGGATTGAACGAATCGGCTGAGCTCCGACAACTTCGAGGCGAAGGCGAGAGACCACCGAATCTTGAATGTATGACGTAAGCTTGTGCGTTAGAATTTTGCCGCGTGTCCAGCAGATGTCAGTTTTTCCTGCTTTGCATTTGTGTACGGGGCTGTTTGTTTGCATAAGTTTTAGAGGCGTTTTTGTAAGAAAGTCTATTAAAACTGACACTTTTGACAGTCTTTTAACTCATTTTCCTTCTAAAAGAGACAACCGAACGCGCTCTATCTTTCATTTATATTTTTTACATCACTTGTGTATCTGAGGTTTCTAAGGGTTGTTTGGTTGTATGTTTTTACCATGTAAAAGGATGGAAAATATAAAAAAGTGGGTCTCAATGTCAGCTTTCATCACTTTACATTGTTTGTTTAAATTCTCTTTTATATGAAAAGCTTACACCTTTTGATGTGGTGCTACCGAAAGTAAAATCACCAAAATTATGAGTGATTTTGTTGGAAAACTGACACAATGTCATAAATGTGTCCAAAAAAATAATAATAAAAGTTAAAATCTTGTAGAAAGTGGTGAGGTGGATAACCATTTTCCATTTTATGTCATAAATACTCTAGTTTACATTATACTATTCAAATAATATAATAATATTATTTTAGGATTTACAAAAATTCCTAACCAAATAATGTAAACACTCAAACGAAAAGTGGTGAGGTGGATAACCACTTTCTATTTTGTATCATAAATATTCTAGTTTCCTAAAGGCATCCAAACAGCCCCTAAATGCTGCACGTCGATACTTTTTATTATGCAAATTTGAGATTTTTTTTAAAAAAAATTCTCGTGTAACGCTCTCAATGTTTATTGAATTTTTTTTTAAAATTCATCTTAATTTTATTTTAAAATATAATAATTTTATTTTAAAATACAATTATGACAGGCTTAAATAAAATTAGAGTATGTTTCACAATAAATCCAAAAAAATACTACATTTAAAAACGTTCTAAAATTAGCTTTCAACTGTCACGTGTAAAAATTCAGGAGAAAGTTCTCGTGTTTGCATAACAAAGGGTATCAAAAATAGTTTTTTTAAATTTTTGAGATACATAAATGTTGTTTAAAACAAGTAGAGCTGCGTAGTGATGGAAACTCTAAGGTATTTAAATGCTATGTAGCCTTCTGAAAATTACATTTTGTCCCACTGATTGTAATTATGAAAACTATAGTCTTGATTAACAAACCCTATTTTAGTGAAATTTTTGTAGAGTTCGGTCATAATTTGCTAGCAAAGAAACTTTATGCAATCTTATAAGTTGTAACTATGGAAATTGCAGTTTAATAAATTGGTACTTGAGTGCAACGGGGGTTATCAAAAAAATGAGTAGAGATCATGACAAAGAGATGAACAATGGGTTAGTTAGACGAAATATATCTTAATGATAGCAATAATATATTGCCTAAGCAACACGATGCTCTAATAAGCGAAGATATTTCTGTATGCAAAAAATAATAAATAAAATCTTATTTGATATAGAAAAATGGACTTAAATTTAATATTGGGCCGGTTCTTTTTTGTGACGATGGTATTTGGAGGGGCTTATTTTTAGAAGTTTTAAAGCTAGGGTAGATTTTGGTGGCTTTTGCCTTTTATTATAAAAAATTTGTTTGGGTGGAGTAGTAAATTATTTGGTCAAATCTTGTTTATTTAGATAATTTTATAAACTAGTTTTTTAAAAACAAAGTTTTACCATCTTTTTAAATTGAGGTTTATAAGTTTAACTAATTTGGTATTTTACCAAATATGTATATACAAAAAAGTTAAGGTGTAAGCCAATTTGATCAAAAAACAAATTACTCGAGTTTATAGTGCCAAACATTGGTCGAACTAACTAAAATAAAGATTAATTGCATATGGATCTCTTGTAGTATCTCACTTTGATACCCTATAGATTTTTTGGACTATCTTGCCTTAGATAGACTCACTAGTTTCGTCAAATTCGCTCACGGTAGAAGAGCAAAATTATAAATTCACCCAAAGAATCAAGCTATAAAAATCAAACTATAGAAAAAAATATGTTGTGAGAGTAACTTGTTTGTTTTGCAACTTTGTAGCTAGAAAATATAAATGGACTTGCATTTGAAAAAAATCTTGTAATAAATGCTACAATCAATTTGGTGGGAGGAAAGCTACAAGCTTTAAAAAAAAGAAAAAAGAAAAAGAATACAAATACAC